AGCGTCCGTGCCAAGGCCGATGTCATACAAGTCGGCTAACGAGCTGCGTCTGGTCAAGTACTCCACACGCCACGGTCGAGCTCAGCACCTCGCCAGACCCAGCCCCATACGTTAAACAGCATCGCTCAGGCCGACGCTTACAGTCAGAGCACAGCAATCTATCCCCGGCACCGCCTGATCCAGCCGCGCCGCAACCGACACGGCCCGTGAGCCGCGGCCGGACTGCGGGGGCCGCCGGGTCTAAGACCCGGACAGCGTGCCCATCGGAGCCGGGTTTCGGCCGCACGCAGCCGGCGCCGTATACGGCCGGCGCGGGGCGGGCCCGCCACCATATCGAGCCGGCGGCAGCTGGGAGCGGCACCGGTCCGCATCAACAGCACCGGGGACGACGCACAGCCCGGCGCCGGTCCCGGCAGCGGGGCGAGCCGGACGGGACCTGGCGGGCCTGGCCCACCCGGGGAAGGGTCCTCACGGGGCCCGGCCCCCGCCCAAGGCTGAGAGGATCGAGAGGGCCGACTGGCCGGTCACGAGCTGAAAGGGCCGAGCTATGAGTGCAGAGCCCCCACTCAACGCCGCCGTTCACTCAGTTCTCGCGCCTGGAACGTTCGGTCACAGCGGCGTGGCGCAGCGACAGAACACCTTCCAACACGGCACTAACCCGACCCCGCCTCAGGTAAGGAGCGCCCGCAATCTTGGGCGGAAAGGTACGTGCTAGCGACCGGATACACGTTCTCATCCGGCGCCATTACGGCACCACGCCCACACCCAGCGACATCACGGCACCACGTCCATACCCAGCGACATCACGGCACCACGTCCATACCCAGCGACATCACGGCACCACGTCCACACCCGGCCACATCACGGCACCACGCCCACACCCAGCGACATCACGGCACCACGTCCATACCCAGCGACATCACGGCACCACGTCCACACCCGGCCACATCACGGCACCACGTCCACACCCGGCTCCAGAGCCACCAGCTCCGCATCACCACGGTCTGGCTGCCCTCCCCCCCCCCCCCGCTCCACCCCCGAGTGCAGCCGGGAGGACGGCCCCGCCCACGGGTCTGACCCCGCCCAGGCTGTCGCGGGCAGGGCAGCCCCACCTACGCACCTGACCCCGCCCAGATTGACGCCGACAGGACAGTCCCGCCCACGGGTGACCCCGCCCAGGCTGATACCGGCAGGACAGCCCCCTCACGGGGTGATTCGAGCGTCCCCTGCCGGTGGCGAATGACCGCAGCCCGCCACCAGCCGTCCCGCAGACGGACCAGGCCGGCCAGACGCGGCCGCTGCCGCCGCGCACCAGATGGAGCCATGCATAATTCACAGCAGCGCAGAGCAGCGGTGCGGCGGCCGCGGGCCGGCGCCGCGTGACACGCACAGCTCTCACGCCGGCGGGCGCGCGTGACCGCAGCCGGCGTGACCCAGATCGGACGGTCGGCGGCGTGACGGCGGCTGCCGTCACCCGTCCGCGATCGCGGCGGCCGGACGTCCTCGGCCGACAGAGGGCGCCGCGCGTCCGACCGACGCGACCGGTCTCTGCTCGGGGAGAAAGCGAGCGCCGCCAAACGGAGGAAGGCGAGCGCAGTGAAGCAATGACTGGAAACAACCGGTCCGTGCGACCCTTTACCAGCCGTTTGCAACGTCACCAACGACAAGAATACACATCAGACAAGCCGGGGGTCGGCCGCACTGCACCCGTGCCGCACCGCGCTGCGGCAGCGGCGGTGGCGGCGCGCCTTTGACGTCACTCCCACCTGGTCCGACGCGGGGCGGCGAGGGGCGGGCTGGGGCCGGGGGCGGGGCCGGCGCGGGCCGCAGGCTGGCCATGGCCGGCCGCCGGCCCGTCCGTGCACGGGGCCCGGGGCCCGACTGTCGCAGCTGGATCGATGGCTCACCTGTGCCGCGCCGGCCGGCCGGCGGCGCCACTGAAATGCGCGCCAAGTTGGGCAGGCTGCGGCCGGCACTGGCGGGGGCGCGGCTGGGCCGACGCGCCGGCCGCGCCGACGGCTCCACCAGCAGCACCATAGCGCGCTGCCCGAGGAGCTGGCCCCACGCGCTCCCAGTCGCACTACGGCTCGGTCTCAGAGGAGTTGTCGGCGGGCGATCTCTGCTGGCTCCACACGCTCGGAATAGACGTTCTTTCCTGTCTGTCTCCGCCCAAGGCCCACCACCGGGCCGCAATGGTTTCGTCACCTGTCACCGATCCACTCCGTCCGCGTACCGCCCAGGTCGCGCCCAGGTCAGGTTCGGTGGCCGTCCAGTGCCGCGCTCACTCGGGCACAGCGCGGCCAGAGCCGAGCCCGCAGCTCCCAGCTGTGCGTGACCGCCGGCCGCCCGTCCAGGACGGCAACTGTGCACGGAATCAATGCGGGCGGACCGCCGGCGGGCCCGATATCACGCCCCGCCGATCGGCACGGGCGCCGACGCCAAGGCCGCGCTGTGAGTCAGCGGCGCTCCAGCGCTCCAGGCCCGCGCCGCTCTCCGCGATCGTGCACCGGTCCCGGCGGCGGCGCGCCGCTCACTGCGGCGGCGGCCGGCGCCGCTGCACCCGTTACAGTGCCGCCGGGGCGACCCGGTGCAGCGGCGCCGCGCTGCGGGCTGTGGGGCGCACGGCGCCAGTCCGGCCGGCCGCCCTCGGCCGCCGGCTTTCACGGCAGGTGGCCGGCGGCGGGGCGGGGGCCGGCGCGGTCCGGCACGGGCCCGGGCCGGCGCCTCCGAGAAGCGGCGCTCCAGGCCTGTTCGACGGGTCCCAGTCGCGGCGAGGACGACGGTCCCGACTCCCGGCACCGGTCCGCGACGCTGCGGACCTCTCAGACGAAGGTCCTCCAGTCCCGTGACGGATCTGTCGGCGCTGGTAGCGCCGGGTGTCGCCGCCTCTGGACAAGTCACCGACGGGGTCCGACGGCGTTCAGGCGTGGCTTGCGGACGCGAACACCTCCAGCAAAATCCAACGCCGATGCTTAACAAGCTGTCCACCGCTTAATCACCGGCCGACGCCGCTTCACAACCCTATACGCGCCTGCCACCACCATGCGCGATCGGCAGTGGCGCCCGCCCACACCGAACAGCGCAGAGCAGCGGCGCGCGTGCCGTTCCGTACGTCGGCGGCTGCGATCTGGCCGCCTTTCCACGGCGGCTGGCCGCGGCCGCCTTACACAACAGGCGGCCGCCAATTACACGGCCGGTAGCCGGCGCCGGGGCCATGCCACACCGCCCGCAGCCTGCCGGGTCAGCCGCCGGTCGGGTCACGCTGACAGTGGCGGCACCAGCCCAACAACTCGTGGAGCAACACATTTTGCCTGGCTTTCATTACGCTACAGCTCGCTACAAGTTACAGAGTGAAAAAGTGACAAAGATCATTGCAATGACAACAACTCGATGATCAAGTCTGCAGTGAAACGAGAGTGTCGTGAGGCCTGCACTCTCCGCCGCCGTATCCACATTGGGTGGCGCCGTGGCCCGCCAGCCGTCAGCGGCCGCGAGAGCAGGCCTCCCCGGCCGGGCGTCACGCCGTCAGCCTGCCGACAGGGCGGCCCCGTGCCGGGCGGCGGCGCGCGCGGCCCGCCCGTCAGCGCGCCGGCTCCGGCGAATATCGGCGCCGCTGACCCGAGCCGAGGCACGCGGCGCGCGTCGCCGGCCAGCCGTCCGGCCGGCCGCGGCAGCGGTGGCGGCGCCGCCGCGATCAGTTACACTCGACGCGGCCGGAAAACGGCGCACGGTATCTGTCTCCATCGCACCGCACATGCTCCGGATATCCGGACGTCCACGTCGGGGACACGCAGACCAACAGAGGACACACAGCTATCGCGCGAGACTCGGCGTCCCTCCGGTATTTACCCATCCCATCCCATACCACAGACATGCGCCACCTCAGACGACAGATCTGCACCATGCCCACTCTGACAGCGCGGCGGGCTTCCGGGCGGCCCGGCGGAGCGCCGCCGGACGTCGGGGAGCGCCCGCAGCGTCGCCGCAGCGGGGGCTCTGCAGGGCAGCGCCGGCGCCGGCCGCACATCTGCTGCCGCGTGAATCATCGGTCGGCGCGCGGCCGGATCGCGAGCGGAACCGCCCGCCGACCGCGGCGCCGCGCCGCCGCCCCTCCGTCCGCCAAACCGCGCAGCCGCCCGCGAAACGGCGCGCCAGTCCGGCAGCGGCCGCCCGGAATACGGCGCCGGAGCGCGACCGTCAGCTGCCGGCTCGTTAAGTGGTCATGCACGTGTGAGGGCCGGGGCGGCGACCGTGACCGGCCGGCCAACAATGGGCGCTTGTGGAGGGTCGCCAGACTGGGTCACGTCAAGTGCGCTCGGCGGCGGCGGCGGCGGCGGCGGCGGACGCCATGTCTACCCGTCTGTCCGTCAACAGGGCGTCACGGAGAAGCGCATGATGCAACGTCAGCAGGGACGCCCGGCCAAGTCTCAGCGCCAAGTGCCAGCGGCCGGGCGCCCCACGCGAGCGCAGGGACACGCGGCCGCGACACGGCCGCTCCACCCACCTTCAGTCTGGCCGGCCATGCCGCCGGCACGACGCGCCGGTTTCGTTAGGGCACTTATCACGCGCGCTCGCGATATCACGCCGCACGTTTCACGCACGCCCCGCCCCGGTCAACACGCCACGATCTCACGCGCGCCACCACCGACGCGATCTCCTGTCATCGGCGCACGCCGCGACCAGTTGCGAAGCAGCAGCGCCACCCAACGGACCGACCGCGAACCACCACCTGTGCGTCGCGTCCATAGGCGACGCTACGGCGGCGACCTTCACTCCCGACGCAAGCTTCCCACGTTTACCGGCGGAAAAACAGGGCGCCGCCGCTGAGACAAACAGTCCGGGGCGCTTGTTTACAGACGGATATACGACGGACGCGAAATAGAGCGTGACGGAGCGCCCCGTCCGCCGGCGTGCGGCGCCGCACGCGCACACCTGCCGGCGCACCACACCGTGGGCTCGGAGCACCCCCGCCACGGCCTCGACAACCTTCCCGGACTGACCTTTCGACCTGGCTTTGGCCGGCCGCGGCGGCGTCTTCTCGGCCTCCTTCTCCCACCAGGGCTTGACGGCGGCCACGGCGGGGATGGCATCGGCCGTGGCGGTGCAGGGCCGGTCATCTGGGAGCGAGCGCGCCCGGTCAGACCGGCCCAGGGCCGCCGCCCACACAGCGGGCGCCGACACCCGACACGACACGGCGCCCATCAGCCGGAGCCTCGCGTTAGCCCCCTCCTGACGGCGCTGGTGTTCGTTTCACCAGGTGTCGGCATGCGTGGCAGTCGGTGACGGGTCGGGTCACACTCACAGGCTGACGGACGGCGACTCGTGGCTCCCGGCAGGCTTCGTCTGCGCCACGCGCACACGGCGAACATGGTGACGCACACCGCCGGCACCGCGCCCGCCAGGTAAAGCTCAATATTCATGGGACATCGTCCAGCGAGCATGTACGAATGACAAAGGACATTTGGCCTGAACGCCGATCTCGCTGGAGTTTGACAAAGACACGCTGCCTGATCAAGTTATCTGAAACGCGTTAGCCGCTTCAATTCTTTTATACATATCCAACAATTTCAGGGGATACAAATTTCATAAACCTGCATAAAACGTGTCTCTTTATCTAGCCTGATGGCACTTGAGCTTGTGAGACTTTCATTACCAAGCACGCGCACAATCGAGTACGCATCTTCCTAAAAGCGCAGACTTATGGGTTGCTCAGAACGTTGGCAGATTGCATTCCGCCAGCTGACCGATCGCATTCCACCAGCTGACCGATCGCATTCCGCCAGCTAACCGATCGCATTCCACCAGCTGGCCGATCGCATTCCACCAGCTGACCGATCGCATTCCGCCAGCTGACCGATCGCATTCACCAGCTGACCGCGGTCCGCGAGCTGGCCGATCGCAGTGCGCCAGTACCCAACGCGTCGTAGTCGATGGCTGACATCGTGCAATGGATTGTCACGACAGGGCCGCTCGGATGATCGCTGGACTGTGTGAGATGCAGCCTTCATGGGACGCTATAAATTTGGAAGAAATACCGGCGCTGTCGACGTGAAACCCCACGAAACCACTTACTAAGTCAAACAATCGACCAGCTCCGGCTATCAGGCAGTACCAGACACGCCACGAAAACCGTCGCCTGCTTCTTATCCACAAATGCAGCGTGTGAGGTCATCAAAACGAATGCTCGTAAAAAAATGCTACTCCTATTTCAAAAGAGCGGATGTTTGCGCTGTCATCGCCTTTGCAACATGACTCTTCACACGGTCTTCACGAAACTATACATCCGGTGGCATCGAGCTGGTCTGCGTAGCATCGGAGGCCGTGACCTACGGGCGCTACAGCGCAGAGGTAGCGAGAAAACTAAGCCATGGCTGACTGTTAAGTGAACGGTGGTCTGCAGAGCAACTAGCAAACCGATCATCACGAGCAGGGCCAAAATAGGCAGAACATCGTCCAGATGTCTAGAAAATAGCGCATAACAAGGCGGGTGGTTTTTTTCTGTAAGCATTTGTAACCGGTAACGGGTGACAAAATTGGGATGGCGGAACACTATTTTAGATTGGCGCAGCGGCACGAAGTTACCTACAAGAAGATCGGGTGTTAAGAAAATTGGAATTTTGTGAAATTCCTAACCAAGTACTTCGCCAGTCAGAAGCGATCATCAAACTCAGAATGATGAAGTTAGAAAAACTCACCGCTTCCCGAGCAACTGACATGGTTTGTACCACCTACCTTCCAGTGTTACCCCAAATTTCGCCTACTTGTAGAATCACCAACGGCAAAGATGCCCCGCATTTCTCCCACTGAGTTCAGGCTAAGTTATGTAGGGTCACATCCTGTCACACTGATGTACAATAGCTGCGTTACATCTGGGGTGGAGGAAAGGCTTTCAAAAAACACATCGCAGTTTTTCACATCACGTCAGATTACGGAAGAGACCTGTTGGCCTTCCCTCAGTCGACTTAACGTCACGTTGGTCCAGCATATGACCTGTGAGAAAGATTGTATCCACGCCATGTCAATGGCCACACCGTCAGGAACATTTGACTATATCCAAAAAGATGGTCAAAGGTCAGGGAATGTCACGTCAAGTTTAATCAGGTCGGGTGAGAAGTCTGGTCGTTGTATCAAACACCATGTCACGTGACGCCCAAAGTCCGGGAAAACATAAATAAACATTCAAATAAAACGCACGAGAAAAAGGCCTGCTGTTCAAGCGGGTAATCCTACGATTGACACTTACGACATAAACAGAACCGAGGACATCGGTCTAAACGGACGGTTTCAATATCAGATGACTACTGGCGCATTCTCCCATCCTTTGCAAACCGAACAAACTCCTAGCAATATCATCCATGTCCGCAGAATACGACAAATGACGTAATAATGGGCTGAAGCAGGGTCGGTGGGGACCATGGAATATATAAACTTCCACAAAGTATCGAAAACAATGGAGCCTTACTGCGCTACACGCTGGACATCCATCGCTTATTCCCGCAGGGAAGGGACGAGCTCCAAACTCAAGAACAATGGCCCCCTCACGTCAGCGACGTGGGGTGGAACTTATCACATCTGATAACTATACGCCACGTGCACAAATTATGCGTAAGAAACTGGAAGTGTCGTGGGTTTACGTCCCTTCTTTCCAGCCTAATCCACGAGAAGCTGGACCCCCCCCCCCCCCTCATTACAGCCGGGGGCGGCTTAAGGGGCCATGACCATCGATACGAGTACTTAAATGAGTACTTCAAACACCACCTGTCTAGGATACCTGCAGACGTGATAAAGAAAATGACATCACATTCCTTTCTGTCGAAACCACTTCGGCTACCATCGATAGCGCAAACAAAACAGAGTCCATCGATTGGTCAAACTCCGTTGAGTGCCGCAATGACCGGCGAGATTTGAAGCCGACATGCATGGGTGGCGAGCCCCACGAGCTCGAACCAGCCGCCACCGTCTCACGGCACCCAGCTGGCTCCGGCGAACACCCTGTCGGCAGCGGCCTACCAAATGTGTGCACGGACTGACGGGGATCGGGGCCTTCCCCAGGCAGGGTCAGGTCAGTGATGCACCTCAGCGGCCGCCACCACGCCCGGGCGGGCTCACGGCTCCGTGCGACGCCCGGCCCCCGCTGGGCGCTGGGTCGCCTCGCGGCTGGTTGGGGGCGGCGGAGTGGCGGCGACGTACCGTATCTCTGGCAGGGCGGGCGGTCGTCGACGGCCGACTCGTCAGCAGCAGCCGGCGTGCTCTGCTCCGAGCTCAGGTCCCTCGCCATCGGGGCCGCGACGTCATCGCCGCGACAGGCGGCCGCCTCCGGCTCGGCAGGCGTCAGCTGAGGCTGAGACAGGCGCCGGCTCGGCGCCACCGCCGGCCGGTCGTCGTACGCCTGAGACAGGCGTCTGGCGTCAGGCGCTGCCACTGCTGGCGGTCGTCGTACGCCTGAGACAGGCGTCTGCGCAGGCGCTTGCGGCGCTCGCCCACTGCTGGGGTCATCGTACGCCTGAGACAGACGTCTGGCGTCAGGCGCCGCCACTGCTGGTCGGTCATCGTACGCCTGAGAGAGGCGTCTGGCGTCAGGCGCTGTCACTGCTGGTCGGTCATCGTACGCTGAGGAGGGTCTGCGTCAGGCGCTGCCTGCTGGCGTCATCGTACGCCTGAGACAGGCGTCTGGCGTCAGGCGCTGCCACTGCTGGTCGGTCATCGTACGCCTGAGACAGGCGTCTGGCGTCAGGCGCTGCCACTGCTGGTCGGTCGTCGTACACCTGAGACAGGCGTCTGGCTTCTGGCGCTGCCACTGCTGGTCGGTCATCGTACGCCTGAGACAGGCGTCTGGCGTCAGGCGCTGCCACTGCTGGTCGGTCACCGTACGCCTGAGACAGCCGTCTGGCGTCAGGCGCTGCCACTGCTGGTCGGTCGTCGTACGCCTGAGACAGCCGTCTGGCGTCAGGCGCTGCCACCGCCGGCCGGTCGTCGTACGCCTGAGAGGCGTCTGGCGTCAGGCGCTGCCACCGCCGGTCGGTCGTCGTATGCCTGAGACAGGCGTCTGGCGTCAGGCGCTGCCACCGCCGGCCGGTCGTCGTACGCCTGAGACAGGCGTCTGGCGTCAGGCGCTGCCACCGCTGGTCGGTCGTCGTGCGCCTGAGACAGGCCTTCGGCACCAGGTGCAGCTACTGCTGGTCGATCATCATGCGCTTGAGACGGGCGCCGAGGTTCAGGCGCCATCGCAGCTGGCTTGTCGTCATACGCCTGCGACAGACATCGACCGTCCGGTGTCGCCGCCGCCGCCGCCGCCGCCGCCGCCGCCGGCGCTGGCCGCTCCGCCGGCGGCAGACTGGAGACGTCACCGGCGCCCGGGTCCGGCAGGTGCGCCTCGGTGCGCTCGGGAGCATGTGAGCCGCGCCTGCCGGCGGCCTCCGCCTGCGCCGCCAGGTACTCTTGGGTCAGCGAGCGCCGCTTCTCCGGCTGGCGGGCCGCCCCGCCGCCGCCGCTGCGCATCACTACCGCCGGCTGGACGGCGGCGGGCACGGGAGCGGAGGCGGGGGCGGGGGCGGGGGCAGGGGCGGGGGCAGGAGCGGGCGCGTCGTCGCCGCCCACCAGCGAGTCCTCGGAGAAGTTGGAGCCGCGGCTGCCGGAGCGCTGCAAGCGGCGGCGGTCCGGCGCCGGCGGCCGGCCGCGGCTCCGGCTCACACGAGCAGATGGCCGGCCCGGCCGGGCGCAGGCCGTCATCGTCCGGCGCCGGGTAGCCGGGCCCGGCCGCCGGCGGGGGCGGCGGCGGCTGCGGCGACGCGTGGCACGTGCACACCAGCGGCTGCCGGGCGAGAGAGGCCGCGTCAGTGGAGCGGCGGCGGGGTACGCGACGGTGAGCAGAACAGACGGCCGACGCGGGTTCAAATAGACACGTTATGAACAGAACAGGGCAAAGACAGCATGACCTCAGCGTCACATGAAATCAGGCGCCTGCGTACGTCATAACGGCCTTGGTCAGGTCAGCCCAGTCACGTGGCGGCGCTCGCCTTCACCTGACGTGTGTGTCGTCACATTAAAGCTACAATTGGAAACGCCGGAAGCCCAGATAAGGCAGCGTATCTTAACAAAGCCCAGCGTTGCGCAAGCCTGTTCGAAGATTCGAGCGCTCCTTCGGTTAAGCCATCGCCACAATGCACTCAGTGAAACCCAGCCGCTCACGAATATGTGCTTAGCCGTCACTCACGAACAACGACGGGGATCATCGCTGACCGCTACCGATCTGAGCGCGACTGTTTGGCATCGCCGTGCGGGCTGGCCACGCGCGGCCTGTCAAAACACGCCACAGGTGGAGCCGACGTCAGCCGCGCGTTACCACACCTCATTTCAATGCGCGCGGGGTCCGCTCCAGGTTCCCCGGCTCCGGGTCCCGTGAAAGTCCGCACCACCCGGACACTCCGCGCGCTCCCAGTCAAGATTGGCCCAGCCCGAGGGCCCCCAGGGCGGCGGCGCCATTCACCGGCCCGGCCAGTGACCCAGCGCTCCACTCAGCACCGAACGAGCCGACGTCAGCACCATGGACAAATGCGAGATCCTGGTTTTGCGGCACAATTCGCCACGCTGTTCACCGGCAAAATGGCTAAATAAACGATCTCTGAACAAACATGGCCTGAGGTCAGCATGCCTCTCCAGCACCCGCAACCCGTCGCCAACCAGTCCGTTTCCACCTACAGTGTCTCGCTTTCAAAGCCCGTGTCCTGACGTGCTGCGTGCTGCACGTGACCTGCCGTTGGCCACCTCTGTGTGGTGCCCCCGCATGGCCCGTCACAATCCCCGTGCACAGACCCTGAACAGAGGTAGCCGTGATCCGCCCGGGCGCTCGGGCCGGCGCTATGCGGCGACGCACGTGACCTGTCGTGCTCGGCGGCGCTAATGCCGGCTCGGCGGGGGTCACGCACAGCTGCGTCACCACGCCAGGGTCACCGGGAGAGCGCGCGACCCAGCCAGGCGGATAGTACAGGAAGGCGGAGTCAGCAGCCAGGCGGAGTCGCTGACATCCGGATCCAATCAAAGGTGACGCGCTCCGATCAACACTCGAGGCAACAGCATCCAGCAGCACCATTCTCCAGCCAGACTCGGCCGGACAGACTGACCGGCATGGGGCGAGCCCACCGCGCAGGCGTGGCCTCCGTCCTCCGACCCCGGTAGCCGCGTGACTGAGCGCGTGGTCGCAGCTCGCGGTTCCCCGCGAGCAGCCTGTCACTCACGCCCCTCGCCGCGGCCCTCCGCCAGCTGGCGAGCCTGTCCGTCTCGAAATAGCCGGCGCCGGTGCCATCTGGAGCGGCTCGGGCGCCCGTGACCTCCGCCGGCCCCGCCGCCACGTGCGCCCCGCTTTTTGTGGGCGGCGTCCGACCTTCTGGCGGGGCCAGGTCGGCCTCACGGCTCGGCCCGCGCGGTGACACCCGACACGCCGCCAGCGCGTCCCGCCGTCAGAGCCCGTCACTAGCGAGGCTGGTGACAGGGTGCAGGCAGTCGTCACAGGCACGGGCGGCCCGCGGCTGGCAGGCCGCCGCCGATCGGCAACCCCGCTGGTGATGAGGCAGCCCCGCGAACCAGCACTCGTCTGCTCAGATGTTTGTCTCCGCAGGCGAACGGCGTCCCGACGGCGTGGCAGGTGACTGCGCCACGACGGTCTGTATCGGGACCACGCTTACCGGCACGTGGCGCAGCTACCTGTGAGGCCATAGGCAGTGGCACGGGGACTCAGGGTCTGCTTTGCCTCCATCAGTGTGAGCACGTCAGGGTATGCTCTGCATCCATCAGTGTGAGCGCGTCAGGGTCTGCTCTGCATCCAGCAGTGTGAGCGCGTCAGGGTCTGCTCTGCATCCAGCAGTGTGAGCACGTCAGGGTCTGCTCTGCATCCAGCAGTGTGAGCGCGTCAGGGTCTGCTCTGCATCCAGCAGTGTGAGCACGTCAGGGCCTGCTCTGTATCCAGCAGTGTGAGCGCGTCAGGGTCTGCTCTGCATCCAGCAGTGTGACCATTTCATGGTCTGCTCTGCCTCCGACAGTGTGAGCGCGTCAGGGTCTGCTCAGCCTCCAGCAGCGTGAGCACTTCAGGGTCTGCTCTGCATCCAGCAGTGTGGGCGCTTCAGGGTTTGCTCTGCCTTTCCAGCACACTCTGCCTCCAACAGGGGGGTGGGGGGGGGGTGGGGGGGGGGGGCAACTTGATACTCACTCCAATCCCCACCCGTCACAGTCGCTTCCCAGAACACACCACACTCGGGGCGAGGCACCCCACTCGGCCCTCCCACGTTCGGCCCGGCGGCTCCACTCGCCCGACCCACGGGCGTCGGTATCGCCGCCCACCAGCGCGGCCCCGGCGGGGGGCGGCGGGCGGCGCCCCTCTGACGACATCAGATTATGCGGCGCCGACCGCGCGCGCGCGCGCTTGCGTCATCGTCCGAGGGCGACACACACACACACACACACACACACACACACACACACACACACACACACACACACACACACACACACACACACACACACACACACACACACACACCCGCACGCCCGCGCGCACGCCCGCACGCACGCACGCACGCACGCACGCACGCACGCACGCACACCTGCTGGGATGCGGGGCAGAACACGCGTCAGAGAAAATAGTGGCAAACAGCTGATCGTTTATAGGTAACGGCCTACAGCTGCCTCAACCGCAACGGGGCGCGCAAGTCCGGCCGCTCGCCGGAGGCCGACGCCTCACAAACCGGCGCACGCGGGCTGGCTATAGCGAGACACCCCAACGCGTGAGTGAGAACAGCCGACCAGAGAGTGGCGCAAAGTGCAGGGACGGCATCACAAACCCGGATGGCGTAGACCGTGCGGCGGCGGGCGTCGCGGGCCTGGCTCCAAACGCGAGGGAGGGCCGGGTGACTTGGAGAACAGATCGCAACGCGGTAAACCGTGCGGTCCACGGGTCTGACCTGACCTTAGAGAGGAAACGATGCTTTAGTGAATAGCGTTCCCAGCACAGAAGTGATACAGATATCTGGAGGTCCGGCGCGTCGCCGACCCCACGTGGCTCTAAGGTTACCGGCAGTCTGTCACGCGGAGTTTCATCCAGCGCGAAACCCCGAGCCAAAGACAGCGGCAGTAAAGTTTTCACACCCGTTTAACACGCACCGCTCCCCGTAAGCGTTTAACCCGTGAATTATACCTGTGATACCCGTAATAGATTCATGGGCATTTCATCGCATTCTCGCACGCGCTCCTTTATGGCACCTGCCCCGCCCCCGCGTCCCCGTGCCCCTGTCATAAAACCAGACAACGCAGATGTGGTGGTATCGGAGGAGAGAGGGCGGAGGAGAGCGTATTGAGGCAGGCGACGCCTCCCCCTCTCACCTGGTGCCGGGATCAGGCTAATGACCCATGTAATCACCGCCCGTCACGCCCCCTATTGCCGGCCGCGGAACCGCACCGCGGTCAGCCGGCCCGGCTGGCGGGGACCACCTGCCCCGGCCTCCGGGCCCGCACCATGGACGGGCCATAACAGCGAGCAGCTGATCACAGGCATGCCACTGACTGCACAGACATGCAGCGATAAGGCTTCTTCAAGTTGGAAGAGCTCCGTCAACGGCCATGCGCTGCAGCCTGCGAGCCGCGGGTTTAGGCCGGATGTACCTGGCTCCATGCCACCAGCACACCTGACCGAGGGCAGCAGCTCGCTGCCTGCCGGGCGCAGGTGGGCCGGTCAGCTGTTCGCCGGCCCCGGCCCTGGCACCGGCTCCCGCCCGTGATCAGGCCGCGGCCCGGGACAGCCGGCGGCACTGCCAGCGGCCGCAAATAGCCGACAGCCGGGTCGCCGCGAGCCGGGCCGCCCACCCGATCCGGCTCGGATCAGGTCCGCCCAGCTGACTGCGGCCAGGTCCCGCGGAGCTACCGCGTGGCGACTCCCAGTCAGCCACCGTTCCTCCAACAGCAGCCAGGACCACTCTCAGTCAGCCACCGTTCCTCCACCGGCAGTCAGGACAACTCCCAGCCAGCCACCGTTCCTCCACCAGCAGTCAGGGGAACTCCCAGACAGCCACCGTTCCTCTAACAGCAGTCAGGGCCACTCCCAGTCAGCCACCGTTCCTCCACCAGCAGTCAGGGGAACTCCCAGACAGCCACCGTTCCTCCAATAGCAGTCAGGGCCACACCCAGCCGGCCACCGTTCCTCCACCAGCAGCCAGGGCAGTGCCCAAATGCTGCCGAGTGTGCGTCCGCAGGGGTATGACGTTGGGTAAACCGTGCGACGGGCTGACAGTACCGCGAACACATTCCCGCACGCATGCATTTCACCAGACCCAAATCGTCCGAGTCAGGCCGGAAAGTTGCGACAGCCCGGCCACAACTGCGCCATGCACCATACGATGGCCGCGCTGCGGCGGGGGCCGGTACCTGGGCCCGTGCCCTCACCTGCTGCTGCTGCGGGGGGGGGGGGGGCGGTGCCCAGGCCCGTGTTCTCACCTGCTGCTGCTGCGGCGGGGCCGGTAGCCGGGCCCATGTTCCCACCTGCTGCTACTGCGGCGGGGGGGGGGGGGAGGGGCGGTACCCGGGCCCGTGTCCTCACCTGCTGCTGCGGCGGGGGCCGGCCGTCCGGCGTCGACTCAGCGTAGAAAGGCTGCTCCGGCGGCGGGTACTTCTCGCCGTTCGCTGGCGGCGGGTACGGCGCCGCCATCCCATAGCCGTAGGGCGCCGGCGGGGCCGAGTAGGGCGGCGGGTAGGCCATGGCGGCCGGGTACGGGTGCGCGTAGGGCGGGTAGGGCGCGACCGAGTAGGGCGGCGGCGGGTAGGGCGGCGGCACGGGCGAGCCGGAGCCGGGGTAGGGCGGGTAGTACATGTACCGCGGGTCGACCTCGCGCAGCGGAGAACAGTCGTAAGGCCGCTGCTCCGGCGGCGGACCCTGCGGAGGGGGAGGGGTGTCAGGGGTCAGACATGGGCACCCGCAGCACGCGGTCACGAGGCACGAGGCGCCGGGGGCCGGGCACGGTCAGACACTTCAGTCACCGGCGGCGGAAGCGGGTGACCAGCAGGCGACCGCGACAGCCGCCTGGCACGAGTTGGCGCATTTGAAGCTTTTTCGTCGAGACGTCAAGGTTAGATCAAAATCAGCATAACGCGGGCTTTCGTTTTAATCGACCCAGGTGGTGCCTTAGATCGAATACCGCGGCATGCATAATACCACAGTCACATTGAATTTCCGATGAGTGGCTTTAGCTACGATATGGATTACGCGAGGCTCTTAGAGGCCTGCACCTGCCATCAAAATCAGACAAAAACTAGCGATGAGCTTCAACAAGAAGTTTGCGTGCACTGCGCGAGCGGCAGCTCTGTCACGCAGCAGCCCTCGCTGGCAGGCCAGCCAGGGCCGCTGCGTGGCAATGCAGCGTCAGCCGCGGACGTGGTCCAGTCATCGAAACGGTCGGAGTCATCAAAGTCATCGGAGCCGGCGCCTGAGCGGCTCCACCCCTCACACCTGCTCCGCACATCAGCCGGCGCCTCCACCCAAACGTGCGGCCGCATCGGCCGAGTATGCGTCACCTCCTCTCCGTTCCTCCGGCCCGGGCCCCCGCCGGCGGCGAGTCAGCGGCCGTGCCGCACCCAGCCAGCGGCAGGCACCCGCACCCCGGGCCTGAGTCAGCCCGTGACGTCACAGGGGGTGGCGTGCGGACCGACGCAGGGCACGGTCCCAGGCCGGCTGAGGCCCCAAGTCCGAGGCCTACCGTCCGGCACACTCCCACCGCATGCACGGGCGTCTGGCGGCTGGCGGCTGATTCGCCACGACGCAACCCCCTCAGCGGACCGCAAGGCGGTCGCGCCGGGCTGCGCCGGGCCGGGCCCCGCCGGCCAGCCAGCAGCACCGCGTGCCGGACCGCGTGCCGAGTCCGCCGGCCAGCACGGCCACCGCCCGCCGGCCGCTGCGCAGATGGCGGCGGCAGCGGCGGCAGCGGCGGCGAGATGCCGCGATCCGCCAGCCGTCTCCCGGCGCACGTCAGCTGCGCGCCGATGGTGACGTCACAGCGCCACCTGCGACGGCATGGGGCCGCCGAGGGCCTCCCCAGCGGCCACGGGGCCACGGGGACCTCGTGCCGGCTCCCCCGAACGCGAGGGGCACGGAGCCCGGCACCCACCTGCGGCGCGAGGCGGCGGGCGCGTCCGAGACGCCGTCGTCACTTTCACGCACGCGCGCGCTCGCACGCGGCGCTGGGGGGCGCGCTCAGCGCCAACCGTCCGCACCGGCCGGCCCCGGCGGACCAACTAGCAGCGCCGCCGCCACCGCCGCCGCCGCGGTACCGGAACGGGCCGGGCGGCGGGGCGGCGGGGCGGCGGTCGGGTCAGCGCGGCGAGCGTCGCGGACGTTCCGATCGGGCTGACCTTGTGCGCCGGCTCAGGAGCGCCGGCCGCACCCTCCCGAGGGCCGGTCAGCGCGGCTCGGCGGCCGAGTGGCGGCACGAGCTCCGCCCCAGCCGGAGATCTCCGCGCCGGGGGAGGGCTCACGGCACGGCTGGCCGCCGCTCGCGCCGGGAGGAGGAGGGGAGCGGGCGGTGGGAGGCGCTGCCGACACGCCACCCTGGTGCACGCTCAGGCCGCTTATCACAAGGCCAGCAATAACAGGGAGACGAGGCGCCAAACAGAGGAAAGCAGCAGCACCGTTTGATGTCTTAGCCTCTGCCGTCGGCACCCGTGCACCGCACCGTGTCATGCTCCGCGGCATGCTACACAGTACAGCACGGGAGGCACCGATGCTGCACCTCCAAGTGCTCCGGAGCTCAGCACCGGAGTCTTGACCATCAAGCCCCGGGGATGTATGCGCATGACGTAATGGCCGACGACAGGCGCTCTGGTCGCCAGCCACCAGGCGTCGGCAGGCGGCGACTGGCACCGGTCCAGGGTGGCCATCTGCCGGGCGACCCGCCAACCCAGACGTCGGACGGCCAGCGACGCGTCATGATGCGCTCGGGCAGGGCTGCCGCCCGGTCAGCGGGGTAGGGCCGTCAGGAGTCGGCGAGGAAAGGGAGACATTAGGGGCGCCGCGGGCAAGTAAATTACGTTAATTAGGCTATCAGACGCCGGGCGCTGTGGGAGGAATACGTGTCCAGCCGACCCCAAACCCCCATGGTCCATCATCATCGTCCTATTAGCGATGGGCGCGCGTTTCCGCCCTCCCCTTTCGCTGCAGGCCTGCTGCCACATAGAGCCCGTTCGCGAGGGTCCCTTCTCTTGTGGAGACACATAGGCCCCCAGGTGCAGACGCTGATGGTCGATTTTACTGCTCACTCGTGCCGTTCCCAAGTGGCCACCGGCACCTCCACCGGCTCGGCCACACCCTTAATCGCACCACTGAGACTGAGAGACTGAGAGAATCGCCACTGAGACTCGACACCTGAGACGGTGTATTAGCTGACCTGACCTCGCCCCGCTCGCCTCTCAGCTGACGGTTCCACCCCCTCACCGCACCCGTCCCGAAGATCCCTCTACGACGTCCGGGTCCCTAACTCAGCCCTGTCTCGGGCACGGAGGGCCGGCCGCCGCCGCGCCGGACCGCCGGTCGTCTAACAGTACCCGTCCGGGGGCCGGCTCTCGGCCGTCCGTCTCCGGCGGAATGCGTCGGCCGGCGGCCCCGCTTACCGGAAGCGAGGCCCCGGCGCGTGCACGCGCGCGCCGCTGCAGCGCCGGGCCCTGACCCGGCTCGACCCCGGGACGCGACCATGACCGGCCGGCCGGGCCGACCGGTTTCGAGGCTGTCTACAGGCGGCGCTGCCGTCCCGGCCCGGTCGGAGAGCGGCGGCGGCGGCGAGAGCACGCTTCGGAAGGGGCCTGGTAGCCGCCGCATAAGGGGGCATCAAGGTGCGGTGGAGGGTGAATGCACTGACTTCCGCGAAAGACGCGGTGTCCGTGGAGCCCCCTTACTACGTCAACCGGACTCTAGCCATTAGAAGCCGGTGATCCTAGAACTAGACTCTAGCCATTAGAAGCCCAAGTGATCCTAGAACGCTGGGACAAGTGCTGCGGGAAGACTAGGTACTGTCCAACAAGGCCCGTGCCTAGTCAAGGGCTCAACACTTAGCATAGCTCTGTTTTCTCCCCAGACCCGTGGTTGCTGGACGACCCTGCCGTACTGTCTCCCAGATCTGACATTGTCACCGGGAAGAGATCTGGGTGAGATCTCTCTGGAGCCGGGGCCGCTGGAGCACCCTGCCGCACGTCTCTCAGATCGGACCTTGTCACAAGGACGAGATCTAGGGGAGATCTCTCCCGAGCCGGGACCGCTGGGGAGCCTTCGTGGCGCCCAGGAGCGGTGCCAGCCGGCGCCCGTTGTCGGCTGCACGCTGCGTGTTGTCTGCACGAAACAATCCATCGCGCACCGGGCGTCGTGCAGCAAAGACCTCCAACAAATACGGACGGCATTCCTGCACGAGTGTTTGGGCGGCCCTGCAGCGGCGGTGCGTCGCTGTACGCAAGGTGAGTCCGCTGCGGGCCTTACGACGGAGTTGGAGGAGGTATAGGGATTCGGCAAACAATGGCTTCAACGAGCCCTGTTCTCTACGCTGGGTAAAATACCAAGTCCTCACGACCACCTCAAGACTTAAGTTAACGTACGGCATATCCCAGAGATCCACACAGCTTTGGGTTTGATACAAACGCGGAGTCATATTATGCATAGCAAACCAGCGTTTACCGTCACAAACCGGTGCGCACACGCTCCACCGCACGCCGCGACAATGCAGGTCAGGGCAGGGTGTCCTGACCAAATGCTGACTGCCTCTCCTGGCTGCACCGCCGCCCGGTCCGGCTGCAGCGGCGTCAGCCGGCGGCCGTGCTCACCTGGATGGCCGGTCGGCTGGAGGTGCGGTGCGGGTCACAGGGCATGTCCTGCGCGGCGCCGGCGCCGTCCCGGCCCGACATCGGCCCTGCCCCGTCACTGGCCGCCTGAAACACACCGGCGGCGAGCGCTGTCAGCGGTGCTGCTCACACCTGCGGTCAGCGATGCTGCGCACACCTGGGTCAGCGGTGCTGCTCACACCGGCGGCGAGCGCTGTCAGCAGTACTGCCCACGCCCGCGGTCAGCGGTGCTGCTCACACCTGCGGTCAGCGATACCGCGCACACCTGGGTCAGCGGTGCTGCTCACACCGGCGGTCAGCGGTGCTGCGCCCACCTGGGTCAGAGGTACTGTTCGCACCGGCGGCGAGCGCTGTCAGCGGTGCTGCTCACACCTGCTCACATTCTGAGGCCAACCGCGATCGTGACGCTGTGATGGCCGCAGTGGTGAGGCGTGCGCTGTCACCATATACTTTCGATTTGTGGAGGTAAATGAGGTAAAAGTCCATGGCTGCAGCTTGAAACCATGATGAACACATGACCCCTTGACCATTGGATATCCCCTCCCAATCCCCATCTCACGGCCGTATTTCTGTATATTGCTGTGCCGGCCGCAGAGGCGGGGTCCGCTGTCGGCCACGGCGCGACGCCCTGACGTGTACCGGGATCAAAGCCAGGCCCGCAGCGGCCGGCGCCAGGTGCCGGTGCCGCCGCGACCTCAGGCCCGTCCGCCCGGGGCTCCACTGACCGCACGGCGCCGCCTGACTCAGTGGCGCCGCGTGCCACGACTCAGGCGCTGCCAACTGCGACTGCGGGGCGCCCCAGCCGGAGGGGCGCGCCCTATCCGGCTGGACCCGCCGGCGCGGCTGTTGTTTGGCGGCCCGCGCGGGGAGTGCCTGTGCTCCCCCTGCGCCCTGAAAGCGCCCCACTGCACGACCCCTGGCTATTCCACGGTGTGTTGTGGCGGCGCGCGGTGGTAGCTGCTCCTCCGCGCCGCCTGTGAGAAGCCAGGGGTGAACGCTGGCTGGAGCCGTGTCGGCGGTGACGGCGCGCGGATTACAGGTGCGGCCACACTGAGCTCACACCGCACGACCCCGGGTCAAGGCCCGCTTCCGGCAAGACCGGGAAAGCCTGTGAACCAATCGCGGTCGGTGGCAGGGGGAGGGGGACGGGGGGGGGGGGGGCGGTCATGGCAAACGGAGCGGCGCGCGGCCATCCGATGACGTGCGACGTGCGACTTCGTGATATCAGCACCGTGCCATAAGGGCCAAGCGTATTGCTCCAACGGAGTATCCATCCATACCCATACTTCTTAGCGTTCGAAGATTATTAGGAAGAGACTGCCTTGTACACCGGTCTCTTTGTGGCCGTGTGGCTGTCTAGTCTTTAGATGCAGCACATATAACCCCGATATCAGCAATATAATCTTACTCCGCGCCATCATCCCAAATTGCGCCATTCAAGTATTAAAACGCTAAGCTTCTTCGGACGACAGCAAGACGCTTCCAGTCCAAATAACGCGACCCGCCATACAAACCGTGTCAGCAGGATTATCACCCCAACGCGGACGCAAACACGGCTAAAACAGCTGACAACAATGGCGGGCCTGTCTGCTTTCACCTTGCGACCTCATTGGCGCGGGCGCGTTCCGGCCATTTCCACGAGGTCGGATCGCAAAACACGCACCTCAGCGCACTTTCGAACGTCGCCCGACCGCGAAGGCATTTCACGCACGACCGTGGCTTTTTGCACCTCCCCAAGCCGCCCGGAGTCGGGCCGCCGACGGCAGTGATCGGCTCGTAATTGATTGTCTGTGAACAATTGACAGGTGGAGGTCCGGTCCGTTCCGGCACGGCCAGCGGCGGTGTGATCGCTCGCGATAAGGCCAACGCTTCTAATAGATAGCGTGCGCGTTATCTCCAGCGAGATACAGCGCCCTGTCAGCCAAGCACCCTGCAGCAGACTGCGGACGTGGACGCCAGGCGCCGACCCAGCAGCAGACTGCGGGCGTGGACGCCAGCCGCTGACCCTGCAGCAGACTGCGGGCGTGGACGCCAGGCGCCGACCCTGCAGCAGACTGCGGGCGTGGACGCCAGCCGCTGACCCTGCAGCAGACTGCGGGCGTGGACGCCAGGCGCCGACCCGGCAGCAGACTGCGGGCGTGGACGCCAGCCGCCGACCCTGCAGCAGACTGCGGGCGTGGACGCCAGGCACCGACCCGGCAGCAGACTGCGCTGGACGACTCCGCCCACTGCAATGCAGCAGAGCGCTGCCTGCAGCAGCGTCGCCACGGCCGAGCGGCAGCACAACGCACGTTCAGCCCAACGCCGCCCAGAATCGCGGACTGCCAGCGTTCCACGGCCGCCTGGCCGCGTATATCCACCCAGCGCGCCGACCAGCACCCCACTACCTTGACGCTATCTCCACCGCAACCACGTCAAAACAGCGCCCCGTCGCTACTGCACAGGAACGCGATCTCCCGCAGACCGCAGAACTGCGGCCTCGCCGCTGGTGCAAACCTGCGCCACCCTAGCGTAACGCACGTGCAGACGCACGCCGCCCTGGCATAACACAGACGCACGCCGCCCTGGCGTAACGCACGTGCAGACGCACACCGCCCTGGCGTAACGCACGCGCAGGCGCACGCCGCCCTGGCGTAACGCACGTGCAGACGCACGCCACCCTAGCGTAACGCACGTGCAGACGCACACCGCCCTGGCGTAACGCACGTGCAGACGCACGCCACCCTAGCGTAACGCACGTGCAGACGCACACCGCCCTGGCGTAACGCACGTGCAGACGCACACCGCCCTAGCGTAACGCACGCGCAGACGCACGCCACCCTAGCGTAACGCACGTGCAGACGCACACCGCCCTGGCGTAACACACGCGCAGACGCAAGCCACCCTAGCGTAACGCACGTGCAGACGCACACCGCCCTGGCGTAACGCACGTTCAGACGCACGCCGCCCTGGCGTGACACATGTGCGGACGCACGCCACCCTAGCGTAACGCGCGTGCAGACGCACGCCGCCCTGGCGTAACGCACGTGCAGACGCACGCCGCCCTGGCGTAACACACGTGCAGACGCACGCCGCCCTGACGAACACACGTGCAGACGCACGCCGCCCTGACGAACACACGTGCAGACGCACGCCGCCCTGGCGTAACACACATGCAGACACACGCCGCCCTAGCGTGACGCGCAACGTGCCCGCGACGACTTCAAAGGCCGCATGTCCAGCGGCTTCTGCGAGACGGCGGCAGGGTGGGACACGGCGGTCCGGGGCGGCGCGCCCAGCCGGACCGTCGCAGACCGAGCGACGCCGGCCGCAGCGCGCCGCGTCTCGCGCCGTCGCCGCACAAAAACCGAGACGCCGCGCGGCCGCCGCGCGGCGCGTGCCCGATTCGGGCCACCGAAATACGAATGCCGGCGTGGGCCGGCGCGCAAAAACGGGCGTGCCGGCGGGGGCGGGAGGCGGCGGCGACTCCCGGAGAGGGCGGCGGCGACTCCCCGAGAGAGTGGCGCGCGCCCGGCGCTAATTGTCTGCAGACGGCTTTATAACGCCAGACTGGCGAGGTGGTTTATCACTGTCATGCGGTGGCCGCACGGAGAAATATATACACACGATCATCGGTAGGTGGGAGTCATCAGCATCCTTCGGTACACAAGGGCCCGGACGAGCCAGATGTCCCCGCCGAGCCGAGGCCAGTCCGGCCCCAGGACCGCTGCGTCACCGCCCGCCCTCGTCGAGCGGAGCGGCGCCGCGGCCGTCCGCCAGCGGCCGCCGCGTGTTGCAGCAGCGCGGCGCCGGCGGCCACGGCGGTGGGTCAGCCAGGGCCGCGGCCGGCCGGCAGCCGCGCGTGCGCCTAACGGGACGTGGCCGGGAGTGGCGGCATTCCTGGCCGCCGTCAGAGAGGCACCACTGACCCGGCCAGGACGGCGCCGGCGGCGACAACGGTGCCGGTCGGGCGGCGGACGCAGCGGACCGAGCCGCCCCTCAGGTCCGGACGAGACGGGTCACAGAGCAGCGGGCAGCCGGAGAGAGCGGCCACCAGAACAATGGGGAACAACGGAAGGGGCGCGGATAAGCGGAGAGGAAGCACAGCGGGTAGCCCCCCCCCCCCCCCAACTTGGGAAAAATCAGCACTAACCCTTTGGCATTGTCTGGAGGCAAACGACTTAAAACCTGACACTGCCTCCCCCTCCCAAACACCCTCATCAAGGGCCACTAGTAGCCAGCAGGACGAGGAAGGAGATACAGCAGTTGCAAGAAGGAAACTGATATGCGGGTTAGACAACAGCTGTACAGAGGAAACTGATACGCGGGTAAGACCGTGCGAAGATCGCGATGACGAGCCAAAGGTCAAACAACTGCAAGAACCACAGCAATAGAGCGAGAGAAAGCGAACGCACGTCAGTCTCAAACCGCTGACGGCCGAGGGCGGCGAGCGAACAGCTGATGGGCGCGGCACTTCCGGCGCGGCGGCGGTCCGAGTGCGTCGCTCCCGGCCGCCGCAGCCGCCGTCCTGGTGCCGGTGCCGGTGAACAAACGGCTCGGACGGCGCGCGCCGGGCGGCACGGGCGGCAGACCGCAGCCGGCCAGGCCGGCGCCGCCGAGGTGCGCAGGCGGCGCCGAGAGGTCGACTGCTGCAGAGACGAGAGCTGCAGCACGAGCGGAGCTAGCCATGGTGCTGGCTAGCACGGGACGAACGGGCGAGGCTGGACTGATCCGCGCGCACAAAGCCAAGATACGCGACACTCCACTCTTCCCTGTCGTTGACGCGAAAGCTCAACTGCCTCTCAGCAGAGGCGTCACAGCATCTGCATTTGCTCTCTCTCTCTCTCTCCTCTCTCCTCCTCTCCTCGCCTCTCCTCCAAAAAAAACTCCCTCGTCCTCTCTCCTCGTCCTCTCCTCTGCCATCTCCGCTCCTCTCCTCTCCTCTGCCTCTCCTCTCTCTCTCCTCTCCTCTCCTCTCCTCTCCTCTCCTCTCCTCTCCTCTCCCGCTCCTCTCCTCTCCCTCTCCTTCCCGCCTCTCCTCTCACTCTCTCTCTCTCTCTCTCTCGCTCTCTCTCTCTCTCTCTCCTCTTCTCTCTCTCTCGCTCTCGTCTCTCTCTCTCTCTCTCTCTCTCTCTCTCCGTATGCAAAAATACGAGATTTTCGTTTCCAGACACTATGAGTGCTCTTGACAATGAAAACTGCAAATTATGCTGATTATAACATATCAAACACTTTTCTATCACTCATGGTCGGTCCTGGCCACGCTAACTTGACTCTAGAAATTTGAATATGTTGCGCCATTTCTGCCTCACTTCCATCGAGTCGCGGGAAGAGATTTAATGCGTCTGGCAACGATTCTAAGCGACGTTACATGTAATCTTTGTTGTCCGGATTGCTGCGAATGCAGCCCGAGTTCAGCTGCGCGGCCCAGCCAGCCCAGCTCGGCCCAGCGGGCGTCGCTCGGCCCGTGTGACCCGCACGCCCTGCCGGCAGCCCCGAGTCAAGGCCGGCCGGCTGCGGGCCACGGGCCGGTATTCAGCCGCCGACACGCCACGCCGCCGGCCGCGACAAACACGGCCGCCCGGCTGCGGACCCCGCCCAGCGCCACTGTCCTGACGAGGGGGAGGGGGCAGGGCAGGGTCAGCCGGAAGCCGCCGCTTCGGGCCGCCGCTGACCTCCGGTCGGTCCGCCCCGTACGCCGAGCGTCCTCTGGCCATGAAGGGCCGGCGCATCACCTATCCAGTTACCCGCGTCATCCGCCCTCAGTCCCTGGACGTCCCTCCGAGCCAGAGGGGCCGGCGTAGCCTGACACGCCACGTCTGACATTCCACCTGCGGCTCTCCCATGCCGGAGCCACGGCACGACGGGCCTCGCCTGGCCGGTGGCACGTGACCTCCGCGTCGTTCCACGAGGCTCCTCCGGCCGGGGGAGCTGGCACGTGACGCATGGTGATATACCGCCCGAGTCAAGAGGCCGCCGGTGTTTAGTATTCCGGCCGGGGCGACCACCCGACCTTGAACCATTTTCGGACACCAGTCGCACTTGATCGGCGCCCGACGTTGCCCAATTCCCGCGCGGGGGCGGCGAAGGCTGGCGTCTGTCCTCTCCGGGACCGCCCGTCCTGCTCCGCTCGGTCACAATGACCCCGCGGTCACGACAGCACCCACGACACCTCTCCCCGACACCTCCACCGACCGCCCGCCGCTTCAGCGGGGGGCGTGCCCCGGCGCCCGAGACACGGCGTTAAACGGCGGCCATTAGCCCGCCCGGCTGCGCGGTGACACGCGGAACGGCGGCGTGGCGCTCCCTGTGGTGACGTGCTAACGAGGGCGGCCGGCGCGGGCGCCGCCGCTGCAGCGGCTGGACGGCAAGAGCTGGGGCCAGGGGCGTGTGCAGGAGCATGGCCAGGGGATGCTTTCGCGTTTTTCATCACAGGCAATGGACGTGGGTTATCTCGCCGCATGATGAAACACTTCTGGGGTGTGCAGATCCCTCCGCTGCGCCCCCATACATTGTCAACTGGGTACGCCTATGGAAGTCTGACCAACCCTCACCTGCTCGGCGCCTGGGGCACGCCGCTCCTTTGAATGACGCACACGGCTTCCGACCCACGCCCTCCGCGCGGACCCACGCTGCTGGCCGGCCTACACTGCCGCGACTGGCTATCGCCGCCGCGCGGCCGCCGCCGCCTGTGACGTCGACCGTGACGTCAGCGGCGCCGCGCGGGCCGCGGCGGAGGGGTCGCGGGCCGCGGGGCCGAGGCGGCGACGGCGGGGGACGGGATCGGCTGCGCCGCGGGCCGGGGCCGGCGCCGGCGCGTGCCACGGCGTAAGGGTTAGGGGCAGAGCACTAAGGTCCCTGAGCGGCTGTAAGCGGTGCCACGTTCGGCCAGTCGCCAACCAGCCACAGCCAGTCGCGATGGATGTAATGTGCGCCGAACGCTTAACAAAGGAAACGATCCCTGAAGATGTGGGAGTTACGGCCGCTGACGCTGCCGCGGCCTAAAGCGTGGGGCAAAATGAGTGCTGGGTATGGAAACGTTATCTGGCCGCATCGTTGGCCGGCCCGTCCACACAAGCACGTGGCTTGGGCATCGTGACTGAACAAAACTAGCAGCGCGTAAGTACGGCACACAATCCGTGAGGGGGCCCAACGTTGAGCGACGCCGGAAATCACGAATTTCCGGTGGACCCTCACGGGGCAAACCCGACGGCAGCACGGGTGCAGGGGCTAACTCAAAGACCGTGCAGAGACATACACGAAACAGGCCGCACAATGGGTTCGAGCCGGAGCGATCTGATACTGCAGGACCGAGGTGGCATTCGCGAGCCATTGCGGATTACCGGATCGAATTTTCCGTCTGTAGACGCAATGAAGTGGCGTGTTCCCCCCCAAAGAACACCGTGATCTCCCGTAATCCGCTCTGGCACACCGATGAGCCAGATCAACACTGAGAGAACACAAAGGCTGCTGCAACTCAACAACGGATGCGAGCCCCTGGCTCGAACACTGATCAAACTCTGCAACGACGGAACACAAAGGCTCTTGCAGTTCAAGAACGGGTGCGAACCCCGGCTATAACACCGACTAGATTCAACATTGACGGAGCACAAAGGCTGCTGCAGTTCAACAACGGATGAGAACCCCTGGCTATGTCACCGATTAAACTCAACATTGACGGAATGCAAGGACTGCTCCAATTCAAAAACAGATGCGAGTCCCTGGCTGCAAAGGCCGAGAAACGTTTCAAAATGGGGGGGGGGGGGGCACACCAGCGTTCCAAAATTCATCCAGCCAGGTGTGCAGGATGTACATATAAATCCATACTAACAGAATCCGGGCTCTCCGGCGGTCCCCACACGCAACTCGTTGGCGTTGATCCGTTACCCTTTGACCCCCACCCGGACATCTGACCTACTCAGCCCATTTCTCAAGCCTGGGGCGCATAGATACCGGTTTGACAGCCGCCCGGTTCGATGCTGATTGGCCGATTTTGAGCAACGGGAGGGGCCACAGACAGTGAGCCCAAGGCCGAAGTGCTAGAGCTGAAAAAATATCGACATCCCTGCCACCCAGGTGGTCGGATATTAGAACGCTGTGGCAGACTTAGGGTGTACTCCATGAGCTCTTCTGGGAAGCAGGCCCGGTGACGGGGGGACGGGTAAAGAGGGGGGGTTATTGCCCGCTCTTAATTCACAGAACATATTTTGGAAAAAAATAAATGCTATTGTTGATATGCTAGATATACATCCACAGCTGCTGCTCACTAGTGCAAAATACTGCCTACTCGACTCATCTGTCATGCGGTAAATAAGGCTACCCAACTTCCCCCAATTATTCGTGCATTTCAACATTGTTTCCTTGGGGACGCAACATTTGAAGAGCTGGTAAGCATTTTGGGTCATTGAGGAGACACCTACCTCCAAAGAGTAGATACCAAAATACAACCTCGACATAGGCTGGCCAGTATTTTGAATATTAATCGATGGCCCATAGAACGATACCTAAATATGACCTCGACATAGGCTGATCAGAATTTAGAATGCGAATCGGTGGTTCATAGTGCGTCTGAATTTCCACGCGTCTATATTTCGCGGGCTTCTTTCCTAGGGATAAGATTTGTCGCAGCATTTTAGGCGGGAACAAATTCTGAACCTTCAGGTATTAACTGCCCAGAAAAATGTACCAAAAACCGTTGAACCGGAGTTTTCCCTGCAAAAGACAAGCAACAGAATGAGGCTTCTCTGTCATATATTCCTCATCTATGCCCTTCTTTCGTCCGCCGTCGGCAGCACTGCCCTGGCCCTGCTGCCCCCTAGTACTGACTGCGAACTGATCGCATGGCTGCCTTGCTGCATATTTATGGATTAGCATGATGGCTTACGGGTGCGTAAAAAATACATTGGACACCTGCAGCAGTACCTTTTTCCAAATTATCTCCCCGTACACCACACCAGCGAAGAAAAAGCCTTCGGGAGGCTGCTTGCCTTAGGCATGAATTGGTCCAACGGACATTCAATCGTCCCACATCCAACATAGCAGGCTTAGTCTACTTTTGTATGCAGGGAGGAGCGTAGCCAGAGCCCTACCAAGGGGAGCACAGGGTTGAAAAAAGCTCCCTTGATGGCGGCCCCCCCAAAAAAGATCGCCGCATATCCTAGTTGTTCCAGTTCACTTGTTAACAAGGGACAAGGTTGTCTTCGTCTCATTGTCAGTTTTACCTCGTGTAACTATATCAGAAAAGGAAACCAAAAGCTACCGAGAGATCTATTCTGTTTGTATTTTAAAGTTAATAAGCTGAAGAAATCAGGCGTTGCGCGACTGCATGAAATAAATCACCGGCGCTCTTCATTTACAATGGTCCAGTGGACTCTTTCCAAACCGATAGCGTTCCGAAGCTTGTCAGATTTTTTATATGGGTTCTGCAGTCATATTAGGGATGTCGCGAAGGTACATTGTAAATCGAAATCTGTAAAAAGTGTATTAACATGGCTAAGCCGTGCTTGTCTGAAAATGTTAAACATTCAGCTAGAATCGATAAGCGATACAAATTATGTAACGTAGTTGTGAACATGCCCGCCCGCAAATTTTGGCAACGAAAGCCTCGCCGCCTGGCGTTGCAGTCTTCTTGGGTCACGCAACGTCGGTCCAGCGGCTAATGCTGAGCGGTGGTCAACGGGTGGCGAAAATGACGACGCTTCTGAAGAATGTATCTACAAACACTTCAATCGATTGGTGATATAAACCATGTGGCGTAGTTCTGAGCATGCGCGCTCGCAAATATCAGCAACACAAACCTAGACGTCAGGCGTTGCAGTCTCCATACGCCGCGCCGGGTCGGTCTAGTGACCAATATTGAATCGTGGCCAACGGATGGACAAAAATGATGACGTTTCTGTAAGAAGTACCTTCTTACACTTCAGGACACTAAATCTTACGGTTAGAAAGTATCATGGGCGTATTTTTCACCTGTGTGAAGCTAATTTTCGAACTAAATTTTCAGACATTTACAAACGTTATGTTACGATGGTCGTTATTGCGTGCACGTCGCCCGCCGCTTGCCGTTACTTGCAATGGCCAACGCCGTTCGGTTTTACGGAAGCCGCAAACCAGACCATCGATGTCCTTCCTACCCGAGATTGCCGGCTTGTCATTGGGTTTTACGACTCAGCTGCTTAGGCTATATGGCGTTGCCTGCCTCTCATCCTGGCAAGAAGGGCGATCACCATGGGGAATCGAGCTCCGTGCCTCTGGTTTCCCAGACGCGCGGTGGTTGACACAGGATCGTTAACCACCACACTATCGGCACCCGTCGCGCAGGCTCAAGCTTTTGATACTGTTTATTTCATCAGTCGACTCTGCAAAAGAAGGAACGTTCTCAGGCAAACATGGGATGACCTTGCGCTTTTTTGGAACTCATTTCGACCCACTGTATTCAACACTAATGAGGTTCCTTATTGCTTTCCAGACAAGGGGTTCCCTTCAGTACAACATGACGGGGCGCATTGTTGTTCTACACTTGTACACTTCAGTGTACTACTACAGTGTACTACACGTGTACACTTCAGCCCCGTCAAGGGCTGAAGGGCCATTCTGCCCCACCGTATTGTGTCTTCCGGACGTCATTCTGGCAAAACGGGGCGGGATTCCCTGACTGATCCAGAGGCCCTTAGAAAGATACATCATATTACACTGGTCCGCTCCTTGACGCGGGAGGCCTTTTGATCCGCGCAGTTAACTCCCGGATCAACGACGGAACCATTAATGACGCAAGAACATCCCTGATCGCTGCAGGTGGTCAAATAATTGTCACGTAGACTCCAGTTCGGCTTCGCGAGCCCGTACTGGAATTGGGTTGGAGGGCCCACCGTTCGGCACTGCGGGCCCTGACTGGTACGGGACCCTTCCATTGTTCCATGGTTAGCACTCACCATAAGTTCTTATGTTTTCTTTCATTGTCAGAAGATCCCGACCAACGCAAGAGGTCCTCCGTCATTCAACCTCCCGTCCCCGTCTCTGATGAGCAAATCTTACCCCGAACGACTCGAAGCCACTTGTTCACACATAATACTCTGTTAGGTACTTTGGCCCCTGAACGATACAAGCAGCCTCAGACAATGTAACTGGCGGGTCCGGCCTTGTCCCTGCCTGGGAAATGGGCCGGCAGAGCTCAGACCGACACGAAGCCGACCGTTCGCTTTCATGATCTCTGGCCAAATTAGAGGAACGCCCTGTCTCAGGGTCCCAATCGGCGCAGGAGGTACCCCTGCTGACATATGAGATCACGGCATCATCGGCGGGAGCCCTAAATGTGACCGAACGCCGGTCATTGAGAACCTTCAGCATTCCGATCGGGCCCTTGCTCTTTGGCCCCGAGAGACCCTTCAGCCCCTTTTCGGACCCCCTCATACACCGCTCCGACCCGGGGCCACTTGCCGCCATAGGACCCCTGTTAGGCATTGTGGCCCTGACCGACACAGGAGCCTCCCATTGTGTCATGAACCCCAAACGTCGCAAATCGCGGGCTTTGGCCTCGTCCCTGCCTGGAAAATGGGCCTCAAGGGCTCAGACGGATATGGAGCCGACTGTTAGGTGCTCAGACGGATATGGAACCGACTGTTAGGTGCTCGTGTTCTCTGGCCGA